AATTGGTAGATTCTACGTAATAGTCAATATGGTTATTAATGTATATTGAAAGCAGAATAAAATGTAAGGGAAGGTACTGACGACTAAAATACTATAAAAGCTGTATAATATTGTGTTTTAAAATATTTTTTTATTTGCAAAAATTAAAAATTAAAAATAAATTATTGTTGTTAATGTCATATTAAAACATATTGTAGACAATTTGTTAAAAGTGTTTTAGCAGAAAAACTATTTTAAATTCCCGTCAACTGAAAGTGTTATAAAACATACTATATTTATCATATACAAACTTTAAAAAAAAATAGTTATAATCCTATTGAACTGTAATAATTGATATAAAATTAAATTTTAAACTGATGATTAATATAGTTAATGAATACAAAATACGCAGAAAATAATTAAATATATACCTAAAAATATTTAAATTAATTTGTTGTATCTACTCCCATGGTAATTTTCCTGCTGGAGAGTTAAAGAAGTCCTTAAACTGATCTCGATATTCAAACGCTTGCCTTTGTGCACTGCCTCCTTGTCTTGGAATTGACGATAAATTACCCAATGATATTGTATCGGCTACTTCGCTGGTATGAATTTCACTGCTGTCTTGTTTAATATAATTATGTAAAATGCACGTGGTCATTACTATTTTATCTGCATTTTCTGGTAACGATTTTAATCGTCTGCAATATATACGAAATTTTGCTGTCAATTGACCAAAGGCGTCTTCAACTACTTTTCTAGCTCTTGATAGTCGTTCATTAAATATTTTTTTTTTTACATCGTTGTACATTTGAGGTCCTGGATACGGTCTTAGTAAATAGTTCTTTAATGGAAAAGCTTCGTCACCTATAATGACATATGGTAACTTTTCATTCGTACCAGGTAATTCTCGATTATTTGGAATGTTAAGTTTATTTTTCTCAAGAGCTTTTCCAAAATTTGAATGTGACAAAATACCTCCATCACTGTTTTTTCCAAATGCACCAACATCGACAATGGTAAATTTATATTGAGCGTCAACTAATGCTAGAAGAACAATTGAAAAAGTTTTTTTATAATTAAAGTATAATGAGCCAGTGTTTGGAGGGGCTTCAATCACAACTTGCTTTCCGTCCAAAGCACCAATGCAATTGGGGAAATTCCAAATTTCCCAGAACTCATTTGATATTCGTTCCCAATCTTCTTTTTGAGGAGTTTTGATGCATTCTTCTTTTAGTTTTAAAATAATTGCATTACATACTTCGATGACAATTCCTTGCACAGTCGAATGGCCTAATCGAAAACTGAAGGCTATCGTCTGGTACGAATCTCCAGTTGCTAAGAACCTAAAAATAATTTGGAATATTATAATTTATATATTTCTTTTAGTATTTAATTTAATTTAACAAAAATTACTATAAAATTTCTTTTTTTAAATTAATTTATTATAAATTAATTTAAGTCCTAACCAATTTACATTTAAATTATATATTTTATATTTATAAAATATATGGTTATATACTCCATAAACTCAAAAGAAAAAAAAATAATACTGTACCTAAATAAGATAATTGAAAAAACTGAAGTTATTGAAAATGTTATCAAATACTATAAAATAGTAATATTTTTTTTAAATAGGTACTACAAGACAAACATAAGACTACATCTTAATTCAAATACGGTACAATATCATTAACACAATTATAAATGTACGCATAGACTCACAAAAAAAATAAATAATCTATTTAATATAATGTTCAACATACTGTTGTCTGGTCAAGTTGATTCAACTGATTTATTATCCTTACTGAATTTCAAGGTCCCTCCCCGTCAAACCGTTCTAGTGTTCCTTTTCATGTCCCTATATGTCCGAGCAATTATATGAAAAATGAGCCTATTAGGCGTTTAATGTTAATGGCAAATGAGGATCCCTCTATAGATCTTTAATTTTACTATTTGTTAATCTTTTTTCGTTTTTTAATATTTATCAGCTTTAGCGACCTGATTATAACCTTATTTATTATCATTTTTTGTAATCAAATTTTTTACTCTATTATTAATGTATTGTAATTATGTAATATGAATACATTCTCAAAAAGGTTTCATACCCGTTTATTATTATAAAATTAAATAAAATAAATAAAATAATAAAATCGCTTACCTCAAACATACAGCTAGTTTTTCTTTAGCCGGTATTGACTCTCTAAATTGCGTGTTTTGTTTGGAAATGTCATTTTTTATTTTTAGGTAAAGTGTATTGAACTGAAATCTGGACATTCGGAAGTACTTAAAAAATTTGTCTTCGTGATCCTCGAGTTGGCGACATAGAGTTGCAAATTCACTTTCAGTTTTTCTTTTTTTCAAAATATCATGGACCCAAATTTTTCTTTTTCGTTCAGACTTTTGTGGAACATTCTTCGTACTGCTTTCTTCTTCTTCGTCTAATAAAATTGCTACAGTCGCCAAATCTGACATTGAGAAATTACGAAACATTTTAAAATTTTTTAAACACTGAACTGCATAGTACGACTGCCTAGCTGTGACTATCTAGCTACAACCAATATTTAAGTACCGTACGGATACGCTAGTGGTTTGTGACGAATGACTAGATATTTTGACTGTGGATGACGGACGATGCCTGTTAAGTGTGGATTGTTGGACAGTTTGTCGTGCCGTTACGTGCTGTGACGTTCCGTGCCGTGCCGTAACAGTGTGAATCGGGCTTTACTTGTAATTCTTTTGAACATTCTTTGCATGTCGATTTATCAGACGGTCCATTGTAATCAAAATATTTATTTACTGACGATTTAGTTCGACCCATAATTAGCAAATAACATCGAGATCAAACGTTAAAAAATTTTAAAACAAACCCACAATTCAACAATTAATCGATTAGAAAACAGAAAAATATTGTATAACAATAAATATGTCCGGTACCTAGTCAGATCGGTTTTGACAATTTAGTTGGTTAATACTTTGTGTTGTTTCATAGAAAAACTTATAAATAGGTAAACCCAAATCGTTATAATAAATTGGAAGTTAGTAACGGTTTATTTTAAAACAAATCTAATGATATCTATTGGCGATTGAAAGCTTATCAATTTACAGACCGGCGGGGAATGGATCTGTAACGGGGAACTAGTAAAATATCATATTATAAACATAGACTTAAGATTCTATGATTATAAATGATACACAGTGTCCCCGTAACATCTTATCACTTCAATCGTCAATCGTCTTCCGTAGAAGCAGTGAAATCATTAATCATACCTACTGTGTTATATAGATATATATAGTTTATTATTTTATCTATTTATAGTTTATACTTTATACTTTATAGTTTATAGTTTATACACAAAATAGTAATACCAATAAATTATGATAAATAAAATTATTACCCTAAGTTAGAGGGTATCCACACTGGTAGGCCTCCCTCCTCACGCTATTTCATGTTATGTACGTTATATTAGCTATCAATTTTACTTATTGTATTGTATGTAAATATTACAGATTGTAAATACTCTATTTTTATGATTTTATCTGATAAAAAAAAAAAAAATTGAAAAAAAAAATTATATTTTTAAACCTAAAAGAACCTATATTTTATAAAAATTCCGGTTCGGTTCCGGTACTTTGTATATTAAAATAAAGGTTCCGGTTCCGGTTCTTAATATTTTAAAGGTTCCGGTTCCAGAACCGGTTCTTTTAGGTTCGGTTCCAGTCCCTGGTTTGAACACTATCAGAGTTTTCCATTATTGATGTTGATGGATTATTAGAAACTAAAAAATAAGAAGTAATAATTGAAGGGCGACATTCCAAAACGCACTATTGCCAAAATTCCAACTTTTCAGGAAAGAAGAAAAACTGTTTTTGGTATAAATTTTATGTATGAGTTTATATTGATGATTTTTATCAATATTTTATAAAAAAAGAAATAGCTTTGAAGAGTCAAAATTCATCTTTTTTAAGTTTTAAGTTAATTAATCAAGGTTTTAAATTTACCTCTTGTGTCAAAACGAACTATTGCCACTACATAGTACGTTTTGGACCGAGTCGGGCAATAGTTCGTTTTGTAATATTTGGAATCATTATTAATTCAAAACGCACTATTCTACATTTAATAAATATTATGAAAATATTATTGTTTGAAAAATACAAGTATATTGTCTGATATTAATATTAACCAGATACAAAAAAAATATGAACAAACAAATTTTATTATTACAATTTTTTATTAGTAATATATTATAACAATATCAATGAGTTCAAATGTATAAGTAATAGGTAAGTTAAAGTAATAAAAAAAACAATGTAATACTTTATAACAATTTTTAGAAATAATCATTTTTTTATAATTAAATGACTCAAACAAATTAAAATCTTAAACCATAAAAACAAAATAAAACAATAAAACCAACTTT